GCCCAGCTGCAAAGGTAACTGAGGGGGGCGATGGATGCAGAGCTGCGAATGCCGAAGCCACCTAAGCGGATAGGGAGCGAGGCTTGGAGGCGGGCCGATGTGGACTGTTCAGAGGTGGGATTCCAGTACTCGGAGCCCAGGAGCTGAGAGAAGTGGCTGAAAATCGTGCTATCCCATGAAGAGAGTAGCTCTTGGATTTCGGGAAAAGGTGCGACAGTTCTGAGGAGGAAAGAAGGTCGGGCAGTGATGCATAAGGAAAGGATCCGTGAGGCAATCTGTGGGTCCTGCAGTTGATGCAGTAAAGGGAGGGAGGTAGTGAAAGAGTCGAGCTTGTCACGAACTGTAGAGATGATGAAACCGTCTGAGCCGGTGGGAACTCCAGCCACAGTGAGACCGTTTGCAGCGATGGAAATACCCGGGGGCGGAATGCAGTGTTCGGGCAAGTCCATAGGGGCCCATAGAGAGCACTTAGAGGGTTGGACAGTAAGGCCAAGAGAGAGAAGGCGGGAGGTAAGGTCATTGTATGCGGAAAAGACGTCTGAGGGAGGGCCGACCAAGTAGGTATCGTCTGCGTATGAGGTAACGAAAATTGAGGGAGACTGTTGCTGGGTTGGTTGGATGGCTAGCTGCTGTGTTAGGGCGTAAAGAAAAGGGCCACAAGGGTCGCCTTGACGAACACCAGAAGCTGACTGGAATGTGTGGAGAAGGGGGCCGCTGCGGTAGTGGAGAGGTGAAGGGGTGGAGTAGAATAGGCGGAAGAATGGAATGAGACTAGAGAATGGGGAGCGCCTTAATGCCTCAAACATGGAAACCCGGTTGAATGAGTTGAACATTGCAACGTCCAGCTGAAGCACCACCCAGTCTGGATGAAGGGAGAAGGCGGAGCACACTGCGTGCGACATAATCTCGATCCCGGCCGGAACTGCTACGCCAAATTGAAGGTGAGGAAGGAATGTCTCTCGCATCTGCTGCTTGAAAAGGAGAGTGATGCAGCGTGAAAGGAGGCGTGGTAGCACTTCCCCAATGGCGATGGGACGTACACCACCATGCGGTTTCTGTAGGGCCACGAGGTTCGAAGCGGTGTAGAAAGGCCTGACTGCAAGTGGAAGATCACCCTGCAGCCAGTTCTGGAATACGTGGAGGAGAGAAGGGAGATGCTGCTGGTGAGAGAGAAACGTGTCCCTGAGGTGCTCAATGAACCACCCAGAAGGTCCAGCAGCTGTGCCACGGGGGGCGGACTGTAGAGCGGCCTGGAGAACAGGGACAGTAAGCTGTGGTGCGGCTGTAGGAGTGAAGCTGTGTACCCAGTCAGGAATTTCTGCTGCAGCAGGTGGGTGCTTGGAGCTGAGGGCAGCAACCGTTTCTGATGATGGAGGAGCTAGCTCGCCAGCTTCCAGTGCTGCCAGTGAACGTGACCAGTCCCCGCATTTCGCAAACCGTTTCGCACGGTTGAGACGAGCCTGCAGCGCCGAAGAACGTGCCGATGCCATGTGCAGAGGTCTGGCGGCTGGAGTGGCTGCAGCTACGGCTTCACTGAAAAGAGACTGCCAGTCACCATTGATGAAGCGGTGCGCTAAGGAGGCACATGAAGAGGTAAGGGACTGCGTGGGAGCAGCGGCGGATGGTAGGCGCAGCAAGAGACGCGGAAATGCCAAGAGAATGAGGTGTGCAGCGTCGTCAGAAGGATGCTGTGCAAGGCGGCGCAGTGGAATGAGAAGTGCATCGAGAATGAGGAGTCGGATGCGGGAGGGGATTCGGCGGAGAATAGGGCCAGGTGAGACTGCTGGGCTGAAGAAGGAAGGCCAATCCCAGGAAGGAGGTGGAAAGTGGGGGAAAGTGAAGCATAACAAATGAGGTGGAAAGTGTAGTCTTTGTTTCAAGGAAGAAGTTGGTGTAGCGAGGAAGGTCACAAAAAGTGGCTGGGGAGAAGCACATGTGAGGTTGGCAAAGTGGCGGGAAGTTGGCTTGGTGGGGGGAGGCGAAAATGCACGTCGAGGGAAGGGGGGGTTCGCAAATCTGTTGTTCGTGCAGCAGGAGGTAGAAACTGATGACGGCACCGTGCTATCCACTGCTGCTCAACACAAAGCTCAAGCCACGCCGTTGCAAGGAAGACTCCACTCTGCGCCGTGCGCTAATTGCTTGCCAGATAAGCCCTAGTTGCTAGCAACTCGTGGCTCAAATGTACGAGTATAAAAGAAGATGCAAGGTTGCTGATTTCGCCCTTTAGCGGAGAGTAGTGAGCTTAGCAGCTTTACTTGAGCGAGCAGCTTAGCGAACTACTACGAGGAGCGTACTAGCGCTTTTTATAGGAGCTGCAGCGAGCTTGAGTGACAACGAAGCAAACTACTACGAGGAGCGTACTAGCGCTTTTTATAGGAGCTGCAGCGAGCTTGAGTGACAACGAAGCAAACTACTACGAGGAGCGTACTAGCGCTTTTTATAGGAGCTGCAGCGAGCTTGAGTGACAACGAAGCAAACTACTACGAGGAGCGTACTAGCGCTTTTTATAGGAGCTGCAGCGAGCTTGAGTGACAACGAAGCAAACTACTACGAGGAGCGTACTAGCGCTTTTTATAGGAGCTGCAGCGAGCTTGAGTGACAACGAAGCAAACTACTACGAGGAGCGTACTAGCGCTTTTTATAGGAGCTGCAGCGAGCTTGAGTGACAACGAAGCAAACTACTACGAGGAGCGTACTAGCGCTTTTTATAGGAGCTGCAGCGAGCTTGAGTGACAACGAAGCAAACTACTACGAGGAGCGTACTAGCGCTTTTTATAGGAGCTGCAGCGAGCTTGAGTGACAACGAAGTAAATGTCTCGAGGATGGTACAAATGATTTGGGGGACTGTTCAATGGGGTGATGCAGTAAATGACATCAGGGGATAATGGGGTGATGGGATGATAAGGTAAGAGGATCTGATGATGGGGTATTAGTGTGATGGGATGATGCAATCAAGGGACTGACTCCACATTGAATGGTTGACACAACAGACAATGGGGTGCGAATGGTGGCGCCACAGGAGATAAATGAGAGCACCGACCTGATTCAGTACAGGTTCAATTCAAGGCACTACTTAGTGTGGAGATAAGTGATCGTTGATGGGTCTGTGAGTGTAGAGGCGGCAGGGAATGGATGCTACTGGCTGGACCATGCACACCTGGTGAGTGATTTTGGGGGGGGAGGTGGGGGAGTGTGGCCGGAGGGAGAGAGAGCGGGGGAGTGGGAGAGAGCTGGGCGGATTGGAGCTGCTGCTGGCTGCACTATGCACACCTGGGGAAGTGGGGGATGGCAATGGGGTTGGGGATGGGGAACGAGACGTTGATGGAGAAGGGGATGGGGGAGGGGATGGAGGAGTGGATGGGAGTGGAGAAAGGGACGGGGATGGGAAAGTGTAAGGGGAAGGGGATGGGGGGACAATAATGATCCGAGAGTGACCTGAGAGTGACCTGCCACTGACTGACCCAGTAGTGACCCACTGGTGACCCACGATTAGCCCCTTGCACCACCGACACACATTCTTCACCCAGCCAGCAAAGAACAGTACCAGTGAACATCAGCAGTAAGGTGGGTTAAAGAGAGAATAACTTGGCACAGATTGCACTCAGCAGCCCACAAGGCTACAGGTTGCCCGTGAACAGTGTGCCCGTGCCGCAATGGCGGGAATCCATGGGGCGGGAGTGGGTGTCGAAGCAGGTGCGGAGCTGGAAAGCGTGGGAGGGGTGGGGAAAGGAGGGAAAAGGAGCAGCGTGATGACTCTATCACATATGATAATCCTCAATTGAGAATGAAATGAAGCCAGCGAGGAGGGAATGAGCGGGGGAGGGGGTGAGGGAGGGAGTTGAGAGGGGGAGTGGGGGGTGAGGGATTCGGAGAGGGAGAGAGCAGGGAAGGAGGGAAAGGAGCGGTGCCATAGTGGGAAGGATAGCATGAGGGTTTGGGCAGGCGCACGACAAGTGAGGGTGCAGGAGACACAGGCGCACAGCTGGGGGCAATCAATCATTACGCTTCCGGCAGCGGCGCCGCTGGCAGTGGTGCAGCGGCGGGTGTGATGTGAGGCGCCATTCCAGCGAGGCGAGGCAAGGCGAGGCGAGGTCATTATCCGGCTTGACACGTGTGGTGTGGTGATGCCTGCGCACACACATTGGCCCTTGTAGATTCGACTCAACGGCACCGATTCGCAAGTCGGGGCACGGAAGAGCCTGGAATCGCGGTAGATGATTGGGATCAGGGAAGGGGTGCGAGAGGGGTTGGGAGGGAGGGGTAACGGAAGGGGTTGGGAGGCGGAATGAGAAGCAGAAAGGAGAAGGGGAAAGGGAGGGGGAAACGGGAGTGGGAACGGGTAAGAGGGAAAGGGAGTGGGAAAGGGGAGGGGGATGGGTAAGGGGATGGGGAGGAGGTCAGGGGGGAGGGATGGGGCACATGTAAAGGGAGGGGAAGGTGTTGAGGGGGGGTTGGACAAGGAGGGGGAAGGTGCAAGAGAAAGGGGAGTGCGTAAAAGGGAGTAACAAGAAGGGAGTCCTGAGATGGTGAGCATGCAGTGTGGCTGGGCAAGTGGGTGCGAGAGGGCATGAGAACAGCAAGCAGGAGCGGCGCAGAGCTGGATGGGTCAGGGATGAGGTGAGGGTTGGGAAAGGGGGAATTGTGCATGGGTGGGTGGGACGGGAGAGTTGCAGGGTGCTGTGGACAGTCCTCTAAAACTCCCTGCGGAGATACAAGGCATCCTCGATAGCCCCGCCAGCCCCATCCGCAGCCCTGCCTTGGGCAGCCCCTGCCAGTCCTTCGAGTGACTCTAACACACATCATCCCCCCCCACGGTGACTGCCCACGGCCTCTCACACGCATCAACTTCACCTTCCCTCTCCCCACTGCCTTCTCCTGCCTTTCTTTCACCCCCCTTTCCTTCTACCCCCCTCTCTTCACCACCCCTTCCTCCCCCCTTTTCTCCCAAGTAATTCTCACATGCATTTCCACCCTTCATGGCATTTGCGACTTCAAGCTTGTCAACTGCCCACCAGCCCCATCAGCAGCCCCCTTTCACCGCCCCTTCGCCCTTCTTCCCACCCTCCTCTCCATGCTCCCCGCAGCTGCCACTGCTGCCGCCAATGCCGCTTGCATCGCCAATGCCTATAGCCCACCTCCGCCAAGTCAGCAGCCTCTGCCTGGTTGAGCAGGGGGGGGGGGGATTTCGGGGCAGGAACCAGTGCAGGAGAAGCAGGTGCAGTGCGGAGCTGGTGGGAAGACAGGGGAAGGGTTGGAGGAGGTGGGAAGGGGAGAGGAAGGGACAATGCGTGGGTGCAAACTGTGCGGCCACACCATACGGAAGCAAATCCGTGGGCCGGATGTCAGAGAAGGAGCAGTAGGTACAGCGCTGGAGGGGTGGCTGAAGAAGGGGGAAGAAGGGAGAGGGTATGGGGTGGGGAGGGAGGGTACAGCGCGTGGGTGCGAGCAGTGCACCACCAAAGCAGGGAAAAGAATCCGTGGGGCAGACGTTGGCATGGGAGAAGCAGGTGCGGAGCTGGGAGGGATGAGGAATGGGGTGGTGAGAAGAAAGAGGGGTATGGGAAAGGGAGGGAACGGTTCCCGTGGCCCGCACTAGGTGAGCAGTGCGGCTGCGCTGTGGGTGGGGGAATTCCTGTGCAGTGGGGCAGAGATGGCTGTGGACTTGTGGTTGTGGGAGAGGCAGGTGCGGTGCAGAGCTGGCTGGGGGGGAGGGGGAAGGGAGGGAAAGGATGGAAAGTGGCAGTGGCAGTGGCGTATAAGAGGGATGTGGGAAAGAGATAGTGCTGTAGAGGCGTGAACCTGTGGGCCAGAAGCGGGTATAGGAGAAGCAGGTGCGGAGCTGAGGGGGGAGGTGGGGAAAGGGCAGCTGAGTGCATTGGAGAAACGGATGCAGGGAGGAGGGATGTGGGCGAAGCAGGGGCGGAGCCGGGGGGGAAGGGGAGAAGGAGGGAAAGTGGTTAAGGGAAATGGGAAAGGGGAGAGGAAAGGGTAGCGCGCCTCTGTGAGTGATGTGTTTGTGCGATAAGGGGAGATGCCAGGGGGCCACAAGTCCGTGTATGTGGGATACACATGTGACGCTGAATGAATGATGAAGGGGTTGATGCTATTTGGGGCTGGGTGGAAAGGAAATCAGAGTTTAGAAGGGGAGGGGAGGTAATTAAGGGTAGTAGATGGGGAAAGGAGTCTCACCTTGGCTGCAACGACCCTCCCATCAGCTCCTTCTACTCACTCTCACAACCATCCCACAGCCACTCGCAGCAACTCAGTGACTGATACCGACTCTTAGAAACTCCCACCTTGGCTACATCCAGCTGTTCCACTGCTGGCTTCCCATCACGGCCGACAAATGACTCGAGAGATATCTGCTGTCAGATTCCTACATGCATCTTCCCCGCCCCGCACCGACCCTCACCTTGGTGATCTCCAGCGAATCAATTGCGCCTTGCCACCCATTAGAATAACCCAGCACATCCTCAATGGCCTCCGCCAGCCCCATCAGCAGACCCCCCTTTCATCGCCCCCTCGCCCTCCTTTTTGCTCTTCCCGCTACCGCCACTGCCACCGCCAACGCTGCTTGGGTTGCCTGGCAGTGTCCCCTCCTCGTCTCGCCGCCTGCCAACGTTGTGTGATTGACTCGATTTCGTGGAACCTGCAGCTTCACTATTGGCCGCCGAGCGGCCACTAGTAAGTCCCATCATCCACCTTCACAGCAACAATCTGCCGCTGTATTTCGCGGTTCCGGCAGTCACTCTCTCCTATAGATCCAGTCGGATTTCGCGTCCTCGGAATTATTGTTTCGATCGGTATGTCCGTTGGCGATACGCAGCAGCAGGAGGGATGCTGCCAGTCCAGCCCAGGCATGGCTGCGCTCATGATCGACTGCGAAACTAAAGATAAGCGAACAGAATCATAGAAGATCCGAATCTGCAATCACGAAAGAAAACACGTAATCATTCGTGACGGGGATAATTAAAAGCGACTGCAGGCAGGTCAAAAGGAAAGGTTTTGGGTCGCACGATGACACTCCTATCAAGCAGCAGAAGAAGCTTGAGCATCAGGCTTACGGATTCGAGGCAACTGTGAGGCGCCAATTTAGGATATGGGAAGAGCCGCCATGAATAGCTTCACAAGCAACGCACTGACGACAGCTGCTCTAATTCCTATGGTAATGCGCACCGAGCTGGTCAGATATCTTGAATCGTGAGGCTCGCAGGGACTGAAAGTGGGAACCTACTGACATTTCTCCATGGCTAAAAGTATGGTAATATAAAAAGAATGCCCTTAGGAACAAGAAAACTACCTCATTTGCATGTAAGCATATTTTGTCCGATAAGCTACACCCTTTCTGCTGTATGAGTGTGCACGGATGAGGCACAGTTGCACTCACCCCATTCGTAAAGCAAGTTCATTCAAATCCTTGAAGAGCAGTGGGTAGCGAGGTGGTCTGGAGCTGCACTTGGCTTCCTGATGAACATTATTGTAACACTAAAGCTGCAGCGTACCATCAGCATAAGCATCAACGCGCCCTCGCAACCCATCCGTTTAAATCACCGTCCCCGCGAGTATCAACGCATGGATCCACGGCATCTCCGACGTTTCAGAAGAATTCATGATGATCGCGTGATCGGCAGCAGCAGCAGTGACTCGCAGCACCGTGGAGGACAGGAAGACGAAAAGAGGGACTAAGGCCTGTGAGAGAAATCCGAGATTCGCGAGCGACTCTGCTGCTGCTTGCGAAAAGCTGTGCGCAAAAATGTACTCGACATCAGTTCAAGCTGCTCGAGGGTAATGACCCCGGCCGTGTCGCTAGTGGCAGAGTGTAACTGATGCCGCGCGGCCTATATAGAGATATATCGGTCTCTTCTACGAGCATCAATGCTGCCGTACCGATCGCTAGTGGTTTACGACCAAAGCAATGTATCGCGAACGAAATCCACTGACGCAGCGACCAGTTTTTGCAGAGCTAAAGCTGGAGAAGGTGGAGGAAGGTGCTTCGCCAGTCTTGTATGAGATTGCAATTCCTGGGTCGTTCACCAGGAAGCCAAGTGCACTCGAAATTGAACCTCTCCCAATTCATATTTGGGTGCGACCGGACATGTTTCCCTGTACGAGCGACGACGACTTCCCCTGGAAAATTTACAGAAATCAATCCTCGTCACCAGACACGAATCGACTGCAGATGAGCTGGTTACCTGAAATCAAACACGCCTTATCGTTCCGTCCCAAACCAAACCACGAGCACCTCCGTGCCTCCACTCTCACCAGTTTCTGATGATGAACAACGCAACCCTAATTTCGATGGAACCAGTACACAGCAACGCATCCCACAGCACAACTGTCGCTAGGCACTCACTCGTCGACTCCAATGTGACGCGCAGCCGATCGTTTTGGTTTCAGCACCTCTCATTTCCGATTGATGCTCTCTAGGTAAGCTCTCGTTTTCTCCTCGTGACCCCCTAAGCCCAGGTTCTCAAGTGCATCATCCAAAAAAAAGGCGTGGCTGGTTGGGCATGAACTTTTTAGGGTTCCGAAAGGTTACCTGGGTTAGACTTTGTTATGAGTTGTAAAAGAGAGTGCGCAGTTTAACGAATAACGAGAAGTGATTGAATAGACTGATTATACAATGAAGGCACACGCTAATATAGTGAGTAGGCTACCTAGGAGGGAACTTCGGGTGAGTGAGGTTGGGTGCAGGTTTGGCGAAGAGGAAAGCCGAAGGCGACGCGAGGAGGCTCGGCATCGTTGATGTCGGCCAAACCAGGGATGATTTTATCAGGGTAATTACCCTGATTTCAGGGTGATTTCAGGCTTTCCACTTCGTGGAGACTGAAATTTCAGAGTTATTGAATTTCCAGCCCGATCCAATCAGAGTAATAGTTTAGCTATCCCTGATTTTGAGTACAGTGTAACAGACTAGGCTGTTAGTGGACCCTGACTTATCAGAGTATCGACTGTGTGGACCCTGACTTATCGAGAGGAAGTTTCTCGGAAGTTTCCTTCCGATGACCCCGCCTTGGATTGATCGCAGTGATCCCCCCACATGTGCGTAATCCCCCCCCTTCCCGCTTTATCGAGACGAAGTTTCTTCGAAACTTCGTTCTGATCGAAACTTCGAGACTTTATGGAGAGTGGGGATATTTTCCCCGACTTATCGAAAAGAAGTTTCTCGGAAGTTTCCTTCCGATGACCCCGCCTTGGATTGATCGCAGTGATCCCCCCACATGTGCGTAATCCCCCCCCTTGCCGCTTTATCGAGACGAAGTTTCTTCGAAACTTCGTTCTGATCGAAACTTCGAGACTTTATGGAGAGGGGATATTTTCCCCGGTAACAAAGCGCGCGTTACTACTCTGATGTTCAGTTCTCGACCCTGAACAATCAGTGTTAACTACTTTACAACCCTGAGCAATCAGGGTACTGCTTTTCTGGAAAATGTGCACCCATAATAGAGGGGGAAAATTTTCCCCGGAATCAGTGAAGCTTAAAATGAAACGTCAGCCCTGGGCCAAACGTGCAGATTCCGAAAATCGGGGCTGTACGCAAAGCAGTCAACCCCGATTGTTGGGCTGAGAAAGAGCCCTTAGGAACTTTTCAGGACTAAGATCGGGTGTTGATGTAGAGTTGTAATAGCGGAAGCTTTTAATGAAGAGTTGATGTGAACCACCTTGTGCTGGTTTGTGAGAACAAGATAAGTTAATAATAGCAAAGAGATACAAGCTTTTATAATGATACAAGGAATATAAAGAGATACGGTTAGTAACCGTTTTACTGTTGCTGTTGCGGTTCGATACAGTGTCGACTCGGGCAACTGCTCAGTAGCGAGTCACTCGTTTGTCCTTGCTGTCGCGCTGTATTTGTCAGGTCAAAGGTCGCTGACCTTTGACTTTCGCGTAACTTCCAGCAGTTGTTCAACCTCCGAGGGTTGACTCGCTGGTTCTTCGATATGGTTTGCTTCGCTTATGTCTTGATGTTTCGACACGACAGATGCGCTTAAATCAGTTGTTTCCAACACCCCCCTTCGTTTCTGGAGTGTCACTGCTGGTGACGTGGCTTTGTCCAGTCAGCAGCATGCAGTATTCAAACTTCGACTTTCCGAGCTTCTTGATTAAGTAATCAGCTGCCATCTCGGATGTGGGACAGTAAGACAGCTCAAGTCTCCCCTTCTCGATCTCGTCCTTTACGAAGAAATATCGCAGGGCGATATGTTTCGTCCTGTTCGCGAATCCGTTTTTGTTGGCGATGCGAATTGCCGACTGGTTGTCGCAGAACAAGGAGAAGCTGGGTAACTGAGCCAGCTTCGCCTCCTCCAGAACTTCGCGAAGGTACAGTCCTTCCTTGGTGGCTGAGCAGAGTGCGATATATTCAGCTTCAGCTGAGGAGAGAGCGATTAGTTCCTGCTTGCTCGATTGCCAGGAAATAGGTCCGATAGGTTCGAGGCGATAGATGTAGCCGGTGCGTGAGCGTCTGTTGTCGGGATCGCCGGCGTGGTCTGCATCGACGTAGCCGACTAGTTTAGGTACTGTAGTCCCGTTCTTGTGGTAGGTTAGACCGACGGTTGCGGTGCTGACGAGATAGTGAAGAGCACGGTCGAGTTCGGCCATGTGTTCTCTTTCAGGTCTCTTGAGATAGGTTGCGAGCTGGCTTGCGGAGTATGATAGGTCTGGGCGACAAGTGACAGCCGCAAAGAGAAGGCATCCCAGCTTCCTTTGGTAGTTGCGTATGTCGGCGGATTTTAGTGGAGCGGATCCTTCCTTGTTGTTTCCTGCCGTGTAGCGGTATGGCGTAGAGATGGTGGTCGGCGTAAGTGAGAAGCGTTTGGCGATGGTGTCGGCGTACTTTGCAGCGTTGAGGTAGATCACGTTTTCTTCTTCCTGAATGTTTAGGCCAAGATATTGCGTGACGGTTGAGAAGATTTGAACAAGAATGAATGAACTATGAAATGAAGTGAGTACAAATATGAAACCCTAATTGGTTGTACCCCCTATGGGATACCCCACTATAGCCTACACAACAGCATAAGCTATAATGTTCTGACACACCCCCATAGGCAAAGTGGGGGAGAACAAGGGGTCACAAGACCAGGCAAGCAAAGTAAAGCAAAGCAAGCTCAGGGTGGATCACAAAGTCACCACACAGTCCGAGCACAGGGTCAAGGCCACACGGCCAGTTCACATGCAAGAGTACACACATATATATAAAGCTAGACAAGCAAGAGCAGGTATATATATATGTGAGAGTACAGGCAAGGTCAAGAGGAGAGCAAGTGAGGCAAGACGGGCACAAGACCCAGCTGAGTGCAGAAGCGCTGATGATCACAAGGTGGAAGTGCCTTGGTGAAGACATCAGCAGTGTTGGCCTCAGAGGCCACGTACGCAAGCCGCAACTGACCACGTTGCTGTAGCTCACGAGCAAGGAAGTAGCGGAGAGCAATGTGCTTTGTTCTGTGCTCCAGTCG